GAAGAAGGTTGGGGGAAAAAGGGGAAAATTTTAATTTGGGGAGAAGGGAGGGGTAAATTCTGCCGGCCAACATACCATTTTAGGTGGAAAAGCCCGAAAGTAAAATTGGGGGAGTAGTACATTTTAAAAAAAGGGGGGCCGTAAAGGGGGAAACAAAATTTTTAAAACGGGGGGGAAGGTTATGGGGTCTTTTTTTTAAAAAAAAAGGGGGGGGTAAAAGGAGGGAGACGTAAGTTTTTTAAAAAGGGAAGGGGGGGAAAAAGGGGTTTAAAAATTAAGAGGTTTTTAGAATAAAGAAAAAAAGTCGGAGGGTTAAATTAAAAAATTAAAAAAGAATGTAATTGCAGAGACGGGGTTTAATGGTAGGGGGGGGAAAAAAAATGTTTTAAGAAAATTATGGGATTTGTAAGGGGAATTTTTTTTTTTATTAGGAATTTTAAAAGGGATAAATTGATGGGTAAGAAATTGGCAATTTTTGGAAGTTTTTGGAAAAAAAGGGGAATTAAATCCGTAAAAAGTTTTTTGGGATATAAAGGGGGGAGGGGGTTGAAAAAAGGGAGTCTTGGTAAAAAAAGGTCAAAAAAAAATTGAAGGAAAAGGGTTTTTTTAATTTTTTTGTGGGGGGAAAAAAAAAAAGGGGTTTTGGGGGGGGGGGTGGGATTAAATTTTGGGGATTCAAATTCAAAATGGGAATTGACACAGTTACTTTTTGCTGATGATACTGTGCTTATGGGAGATTCTAAAGAGAAATTGCAAAGGTTAGTGGATGAGTTTGGGAATGTGTGTAAAGGTAGAAAGTTGAAAGTGAACATAGAAAAGAGTAAGGTGATGAGGGTATCAAATGATTTAGATAAAGAAAAATTGGATATCAAATTGGGGAGGAGGAATATGGAAGAAGAAATGTTTTCAGATACTTGGGAGTTGACGTGTCGGCGGATGGATTTATGAAGGATGAGGTTAATCATAGAATTGATGAGGGTTAAAAAGGTGAGTGGTGCGTTGAGGTATATGTGGAGTCAAAAAACGTTATCTATGGAGGCAAAGAAGGGAATGTATGAAAGTATAGTAGTACCAACACTCTTATATGGATCTGAAGCTTGGGTGGTAAATGCAACAGCGAGGAGACGGTTGGAGGCAGTGGAGATGTCCTGTCTAAGGGCAATGTGTGGTGTAAATATTATGCAGAAAATTCGGAGTGTGGAAATTAGGAAAAGGTGTGGAGTTAATAAAAGCATTAGTCAGAGGGCAGAAGAGGGGTTGTTGAGGTGGTTTGGTCATTTAGAGAGAATGGATCAAAGTCGAATGGCATGGAAAGCATATAAATCTATAGGGGAAGGAAGGAGGGGTAGGGGTCGTCCTCGAAAGGGTTGGAGAGAGGGGGTAAAGGAGGTTTTGTGGGCGAGGGGCTTGGACTTCCAGGAAGTGTGCGTGAGCGTGTTAGATAGGAGTGAATGGAGACGAATGATACTTGGGACCTGACGATCTGTTGGAGTGTGAGCAGGGTAATATCTAGTGAAGGGATTCAGGGAAAGCGGTTATTTTCATATAGTCGGACTTGAGTCCTGGAAATGGGAAGTACAATGCCTGCACTTTAAAGGAGGGGTTTGGGATATTGGCAGTTTGGAGGGATATGTTGTGTATCTTTATACGTATATGCTTCTAAACTGTTGTATTCTGAGCACCTCTGCAAAAGCAGTGATAATGTGTGAGTGTGGTGAAAGTGTTGAATGATGATGAAAGTATTTTCTTTTTGGGGATTTTCTTTCTTTTTTGGGTCACCCTGCCTCGGTGGGAGACGGCCGACTTGTTGAAATATATATATATATATATATATATATATATATATATATATATATATATATATATATATATATATATATATATATATATATCTACTATCTATCTATATATATATATATATATATATATATATAAATATATATATATATATATATATAATATATATATATCTCCCTGAAATGGTGTTAAAAAAGTCCTAACCACAACTTTCAGTATTTCCAAAATTTTCTGATTCTAGAGGTAAATATTCCTGAAAACTTTGAACACAGATTCCAGTATTCCAGAATTCTTCTGTTGGAACTTGTACATTTCCAAAATATTATAAATGCCTTAGACAAAGAAAAATTATTTCCCACACTAAGAAAAAAAAAACAAGGAAAAATGAATAACGAAATGAAACACTTCAATTTTTTTATGAAATTAAAGACTTCTGATTTATATTATATAAAACAATTTCTAATTTAGGAATTTCTAACACCTGAAATCTCCCCAAAAAATTTTAGGTTACCCCTTCACAACAAACTCACAGACAGGACCATTATTAAGATGTTTCTGTCTGTTCTGGATTATCATAAAGACGTTTCGGTCCGTCCTGGACCATTATCAAAAACCCTTATTTTATATATTTCAGAAATTCGAAGAATATCATTTATAGAATCTGTTGAAGAATTAACAGCTTTAACAAAAACCAAAAGCAATATTATTACTACTACAGTATACTATTACTACTACAGTATACTATTACTACTACAGTATACTACTACTACTACAGTATACTATTACTACTACAGTATACTATTACTACTACAGTATACTATTACTACTACAGTATACTATTACTACTACAGTATACTATTACTACTACAGTATACTATTACTACTACAGTATACTATTACTACTACAGTATACTACTACTACTACAGTATACTATTACTAAGTATATCATTACTACTGTTATTATTAGTAATAACAGCAGTAGTAAGTATACTACTACTGTTTTTATTACTACTACTATACTATCGTACTACTACTGCTATTGCTACTAGCATTATACTATTATTACTTAGAGTATTATACTACTACTAGTATACTATTACTACTGCTATTATTACTACTACTGCTATTGCTACTACGACTACAACTCTTCCTGGAGACTGCCTCACCTCTGTCCTCCGTGGCGTCCTCCAGTAGACCGACTTTAACCAGGTGTGAGGGAGTGGACATCGACAGACTCATGAGTTCTCCTATAGCTTCGTGGAAGCCATCGTTGGCCCCGTCCCTGGAGAGTGCAAGAGTGCTCACCGTCACTGTGAGTCTCATGGGAGAATAACAGGTAATCAGGTATGAGCCAAAGAAGAAAAGAGTACCTACGTACCTGTAGGTGAAGGGCTGGTGAGCATACTGCATGCCGTACTGGATGTGGCCCAGTTCGTGGTGGATAGTGGCCAGGTCGTCAAAGTTTATTTCGGCACACATTTTGATCCTATAAGAGGGACAAGGTTGTCAGTGTTGGCATGTGGCAGTAGTAATCCAAGGCTACACGAGGGTTATTAAGGCTGCATGCCACCTAGTCAAGAATACTTTAACCCGCTAAACAAGGGATTAAACTCTACAGTGCATATACACCGAGAAACATACACCTTTCGGTGTATATATAATGTGTGATCACGTTAGTCTCTCCATACAGTGTATATGATCAACATGATATGATTTATATGTATATACTATCTGCCAGTTCCCGTCTGTCTCTTCTATTTTTTTTAATTTTCTCGTTTGACCTAAAACTGTATCCAGCAAATTATTATTTAATATGAATTTATCCAAGGCATAAGCTTTATATTAAGCTGAGAGCTTTAGGGTGACTCTGACAGACTGAGAGCTGTAAAGTGACTTCAAAGACAAATGAGAGTGCTAAGATCTTAAGGGTCACACAGCGCCTGGGAAAATGGCAGGCAATCTCTGCTCCGAGGAAGGGAAAGATTTACCTGGTCTTCCTTGGATCAAGAGCCCTTTCAAAGAGCAATGGAAAGTGTGTGTACCTGTAGTCTCTGCCGTCCATAAAATCCCAGGCGGTGGGATGACAGGTGACGCTGCGACCGTCCTTGGGACGCTCCAGCATCGAGAGCGTCCAGAAGGACTCCCCCAGTGCCTGCAGCAAGAGGAATTAAGAGTCAGTGAGACTTCCAGTAGGAGGAATTTAGTGACACTGAGACTTCCAGTAGGAGGAATTTGGTGACAGTGAGACTTCCAGTAGGAGGAATTTGGTGACAGTGAGACTTCCAGTAGGAGGAATTTGGTGGCAGTGAGACTTCCAGTAGGAGGAATTTGGTGACAGTGAGACTTCCAGTAGGAGGAATTTAGTGACACTGAGACTTCCAGTAGGAGGAATTTGGTGACAGTGAGACTTCCAGTAGGAGGAATTTGGTGACAGTGATGAGTTCAATATTCACCAAGATGACTGGATGAGTAAGATATGATCACTTTTCAAGGCTGAAGGACTGACCACCTCATATTTACCTCTTCACTGTTTTTGCTGCCTCCACTGTTTTAGTAAGCTCTGCATTCGACTGAAGAAGTTTGCAGGGCAGACGAATTATTACTATTATAATCAAAAGGGAAGCGCTCAACCCGTAGAATTATACAGCGCCTGTGGGTGGGGATGTGGAAGGTATTCAGGCTTAATTCAGGGAACTAGAGCAGATCCAATTCCCTAGATCAAGAACCCTTCACCAGCGTCCAGGAACCTTCCTTGAGGGGCTAGCAGACGAAACATTTCGAAGATACACAAGTGTCTTACTCATCCATTCATCAGGAAGCCATGGCGAGGTAGTTAGAAACCTCAGCAACAAGGAATAACCTCAGCAACAAGGAATAACCTCAGCAACAAGGAATAACCTCAGCAACAAGGAATAACCTCAGCAACAAGGAATAACCTCAGCAACAAGGAATAACCTCAGCAACAAGGAATAACCTCAGCAACAAGGAATAATCTCAGCAACAAGGAATAATCTCAGCAACAAGGAATAACCTCAGCAACAAGGAATAACCTCAGCAACAAAGAATAACCTCAGCAACAAGGAATAATCTCAGCAACAAGGAATAACCTCAGCAACAAGGAATAACCTCAGCAACAAGGAATAACCTCAGCAACAAGGAATAACCTCTGCACAAGGAATAAACCTCAGCAACAAGGAATAACCTCAGCAACAAGGAATAATCTCAGCAACAAGGAATAACCTCAGCAACAAGGAATAGCCTCAGCAACAAGGAATAATCTCAGCAACAAGGAATAACCTCAGCAACAAGGAATAATCTCAGCAACAAGGAATAACCTCAGCAACAAGGAATAATCTCAGCAACAAGGAATAACCTCAGCAACAAGGAATAATCTCAGCAACAAGGAATAACCTCAGCAACAAAGAATAACCTCAGCAACAAGGAATAACCTCAGCAACAAGGAATAATCTCAGCAACAAGGAATAACCTCAGCAACAAGGAATAATCTCCAGCAACAAGGAATAACCTCAGCAACAAAGAATAACCTCAGCAACAAGGAATAACCTCAGCAACAAGGAATAACCTCAGCAACAAGGAATAATCTCAGCAACAAGGAATAACCTCAGCAACAAGGAATAATCTCAGCAACAAGGAATAACCTCAGCAACAAGGAATAACCTCAGCAACAAGGAATAATCTCAGCAACAAGGAATAACCTCAGCAACAAGGAATAATCTCAGCAACAAGGAATAACCTCAGCAACAAGGAATAACCTCAGCAACAAAGAATAACCTCAGCAACAAGGAATAATCTCAGCAACAAGGAATAACCTCAGCAACAGGAATAATCTCAGCAACAAGGAATAACCTCAGCAACAAGGAATAATCTCAGCAACAAGGAATAACCTCAGCAACAAGGAATAATCTCAGCAACAAGGAATAACCTCAGCAACAAGGAATAATCTCAGCAACAAGGAATAACCTCAGCAACAAGGAATAACCTCAGCAACAAGGAATAATCTCAGCAGCTGGTGCTTCAAGAGTCACCTTCAGAAACTTTGTTTTTTTGTCCCTAAGGAAAATGACGACAAAGTTGAGAGGGACGTCCCTCCCTTCCCTGCCTCTCTCCCTCTTCTGGTACCTCCTTCACTACTCCCTTCGTCTTCCCCTGCCTCTCTCCCTCTTCTGGTACCTCCTTCACTACTCCCTTCGTCTTCCCCTGCCTCTCTCCCTCTTCTGGTACCTCCTTCACTACTCATCCTTCGTCTTCCCCTGCCTCTCTCCCTCTTCTGGTACCTCCTTCATACTCCCTTCGTCTTTCCCTGCCTCTACCTCTTCTGGTACCTCCTCACTACTCCTTCGTCTTCCCCTGCTCTCTCCCTCTTCTGGTACCTCCTTCACTACTCCCTTCGTCTTCCCCTGCCTCTCTCCCTCTTCTGGTACCTCCTTCACTACTCCCTTCGTCTTCCCCTGCCTCTCTCCCTCTTCTGGTACCTCCTTCACTACTCCCTTCGTCTTCCCCTGCCTCTCTCCCTCTTCTGGTACCTCCTTCACTACTCCCTTCGTCTTCCCCTGCCTCTCTCCCTCTTCTGGTACCTCCTTCACTACTCCCTTCGTCTTCCCCTGCCTCTCTCCCTCTTCTGGTCCTCCTTCACTACTCCCTTCGTCTTCCCTGCCTCTCTCCCTCTTCTGGTACCTCCTTCACTACTCCCTTCGTCTTCCCTGCCTCTCTCCCTCTTCTGGTACTCCTTCACTACTCCCTTCGTCTTCCCCTGCCTCTCTCCCTCTTCTGGTACCTCCTTCACTACTCCCTTCGTCTTCCCCTGCCTCTCTCCCTCTTCTGGTACTCCTTCACTACTCCCTTCGTCTTCCCCTGCCTCTCTCCCTCTTCTGGTACCTCTTCACTACTCCCTTCGTCTTCCCTGCCTCTCTCCCTCTTCTGGTACCTCCTTCACTACTCCCTTCGTCTTCCCCTGCCTCTCTCCCTCTTCTGGTACCTCCTTCACTACTCCCTTCGTCTTCCCCTGCCTCTCTCCCTTTCTGGTACCTCCTTCAATACTCCTTCGTCTTCCCCTGACTCTCTCCTCTTCTGGTACCTCATTCCACTACTCCCTTCACCTTCCCCCTACCTCTCTCCCTCTTCTGGTACCTCCTTCACTACTCCCTTCGTCTTCCCCTGACTCTCTCCCTCTTCTGGTACCTCCTTCACTACTCCCTTCACCTTCCCCTACCTCTCTCCCTCTTCTGGTACCCTCTCACTCCTCTCCTCGTCTTCCCCTGCCTCTCTCCCTCTTCTGGTACCTCCTTCACTCCTCCCTTCGTCTTCCCCTGCCTCTCTCCCTCTTCTGGTATCTCCTTCACTCCTCTCCTCGTCTTCCCCTGTCTCTCACCCTCTTCTGGTATCTCCTTCACTCCTCTCTTCGTCTTCCTCTGCCTCTCTCCCTCTTCTGGTACCTCCTTCACTCCTCTCCTCGTCTTCCCCTGCCTCTCACCCTCTTCTGGTACCTCCTTCACTCCTCTCCTCATCTTCCCCTGCCTCTCACCCTCTTCTGGTACCTCCTTCACTCCTCTCCTCGTCTTCCTCTGCCTCTCTCCCTCTTCTGGCACCTCCTTCACTCTCCTCCTCTTCCCCTGCCTCTCCCCCACTTCTGGTACCTCCTTCACTCTCCTCCTTTTCTCTGGGTGCCTACCTTGAGGCCCATGGATGTGAAGAACTCCTCTCCCATACCAAACATTCTGGTAACGGTGTAGTTCTGAGCCTTCATGGCCTCCGTCACGTCCAAGTCTGGCTTCTCGGGGTACGGCGTTACTAGCGGGTATATGTTAGTCCAGAACCTGTTGATAGAACCCCCGTAGCACAGGTTTAGTACCTTTTGATAGACTCACACAGCAAGTGTTTAGTACCTGTTGTTAGAACCACACAGCAGGCGCAAACAAGTGACAAGTACGGATGAAAACGTACATACATATTTATGGTCAATGTGTGATTACTGGCCCTTCAGCCACACACCTATTGGTATTACCATCTCAGCCACCCACACACACCTACTGGTATTACCATCTCAGCCACACACACACACACCTGGTATTACCATCTCAGCCACACACACACACACCTACTGGTATTACCATCTCAGCCACACACACACCTGCTGGTATTACCATCTCAGAAACACACACACCTGCTAGTATTACCATCTCAACCACACACACACCTGCTGGTATTACCATCTCAGCCACACACACACCTGCTGGTATTACCATACCAGTCATACACACCTGATAGAATTGTCCTTCCAACCCTCCAAGCATACCTGCTAGTACAGTTCTTTCAAGCCTCACTCTCACATACCTGCTAACACACATATACAAGTACACATACATAAAGATAGCCAGGCACAGACACACATACATCCTTGCTCCCTATCATCAACGCTGTATAAGGTTTCAGCACAGAGGTACTAACCTCCCCCACATATCTCCCAACACACTGGCAGGCAGCAGGCCTCTGGATTCGATCTGTGAGGTCAAATAGTCAACCATTAAGAACAAAAAGACAATACTGCGACTGAAACAATACACAAATAACCCGCACATAGAAAGAGAAGCTTACGACGACGGTTCGGTCCGACTTGGACCATTTACAAAGTCCCACTAACACAAGAATGAGGGAGCCAATATACTTGCTCCCCCACACTTTCCTCTTAGTGTGACTTTGTAAATGGTCCAAGTCGGACCGAAAAGTCGCCGAAAGCTTCTCTCTCTATGTGCGGGTTATTTCTGTATAGTCAATTATTAACTACTCTATCACTGGTTATTTGGACTTACAGACTATCGACTATTCAAAGAAATTCTCCCAATGATAACAGCTGTTTGATCAGATTTCTTGACTATGTTTTGCAGGCGAGAGTAACCCTTTCCAAAAACTAGAATCATGACCTGATAATGGTCTAGTAATAGGGGTGGAGGGGGAATCGTATAAAGTGTGACTCACCTGGGGATAGACAAGCCGTAGTTTCTTCCTGATGTAGGAGTGTATGAGGCGGTAGAGAGGATCCAGCTCCTTGTACAGCTTCGAGACATCCTCCTCGAATGTCTTCGTCTCATACTAACCACAGCAACGAGGGAAGAACACGCAAGTTAGAGTGACTGTGTGTATCTTCTAGTAATTACATCAACGTGGTGTAATTATCTGTGGGTGAGGTGATTATCTTTACGTACGTAATTATCTGCTAAGTAATTATGTGTGGGTAAAGTTATGATCTCCACATAACAAAATTATCTATAGGTGAAGCAACTGTTTGTGAGGTAAAGATCTGAACACTAAAAGGATTATAGCTGGGCCTAAAAGATGCATATATAGCTGGGCCTAAAAGATGTATATATAGCTGGGCCTAAAAGATGCATATATAGCTGGGCCTAAAAGATGCATATATAGCTGGGCCTAAAAGATGCATATATAGCTGGGCCTAAAAGATGCATATACAGTACACATATTACTTACCTTAAAATATTTTCATCCTTAGCTCCTTACATTATTGTAAATGAAGAATGGGTATAATTGATAACTGATGCACTGGCGAAACGTTGTAAAGCACAGCGCTGTAAAGCGGGGCCTGCCAGTATATATGGTAGTTATGTACAGATGTGTGCGTGTGTTATTGTTTTTAAAGAAAACTAATTTGGATAAAAAATGTTAGGTTATAAAAATGAATATTTCACGCAAGTGAGCATTATTTTTTTTACGTTATTCATCCAGTGCCTTAATCTTGAGCAGTGAGTGCCACCTTGAGCACTGAGCCACACCTTGAACACTGAGACCCAACTCGAGCACTGAGCCACACCTTGAGCACTGAGCCCCACCTTGAGCACTGAGCCCCACCTTGAGCACTGAACCCCACCTTGAGCACTGAGCTCCACCTTGAGCACTGAGCCCCACCTTGAATACTGAGCGCCGCCTCACCTTCATACGTAGTTCGTCACCGTAGTCATTGTAGCCATTGAGTCTTGCCTTCTTGTTGACGAGCTCCATATATTGCAGGTAGTGAGGCCGAATCTTGCAACATATGCAACAAACAAGTACATCAATTAGACGAGTCATTACTTCACAGGCACACGAATTAGACGAGTCCCTACCTCACATGTATATCAATTAGACGTGTCCCTACCTCACAGGTATATCAATTAGACGAGTCCCTACCTCACATGTATATCAATTAGACGAGTCCCTACCTCACAGGTATATCAATTAGACGAGTCCCTACCTCACATGTATATCAATTAGACGAGTCCCTACCTCACAGGTATATCAATTAGACGAGTCCCTACCTCACATGTATATCAATTAGACGTGTCCCTACCTCACAGGTATATCAATTAGACGAGTCCCTACCTCACAGGTATATCAATTAGACGAGTCCCTACCTCACAGGTATATCAATTAGACGAGTCCTACCTCACAGGTATATCAATTAGACGTGTCCCTACCTCACAGGTATATCAATTAGACGAGTCCCTACCTCACAGGTATATCAATTAGACGTGTCCCTACCTCACAGGTATATCAATTAGACGTGTCCCTACCTCACAGGTATATCAATTAGACGAGTCCCTACCTCACAGGTATATCAATTAGACGTGTCCCTACCTCACAGGTATATCAATTAGACGAGTCCCTTACCTCCCCAGGTATATCAATTAGACGTGTCCCTACCTCACAGGTATATCAATTAGGACGTGTCCCTACCTCACAGGTATATCAATTAGACGTGTCCCTACCTCACAGGTATATCATTAGACGAGTTCCCTACCTCACAGGTATATCAATTAGACGAGTCCCTACCTCACAGGTATATCAATTAGACGAGTCCCTACCTCACAGGTATATCAATTAGACGAGTCCCTACCTCACAGGTATATCAATTAGACGAGTTCCTACCTCACAGATACATCAATTAGACGAACTTCTAGTTAATGTATTTGATTTATTAATTTGTTTTCTTTTTAAAATGTTTCACTGCCTTATTCTCCTGAAATATGTATACAGACTTGAGTACTGTTTAAAATGTTACAAGGTCTGAAGAGAAACATTTATTATTATTATTATTATTATTATTATTATTATTATTATACAACACACATGGTGTACACAACTATACAACATACACATGGTGCACGCAGTCATACAACACACACATGGTACACACCACTATACAACATACACATGGTGTACACAACTATACAACATACACATGGTACACGCAGTCATACAACACACACATGGTACACACCACTATACAACATACACATGGTGTACACAACTATACAACATACACATGGTACACGCAGTCATACAACACACACAAAGGTACACACCACTATACACATACACATGGTGTACACAACTATACAACATACACATGGTACACGCAGTCATACAACACAACATGGTACACACCACTATACAACATACACATGGTGTACACAACTATACAACATACACATGGTACACGCAGTCATACAACACACACATGGTACACACCACTATACAACATACACATGGTGTACACAACTATACAACATACACATGGTACACGCAGTCATACAACACACACATGGTACACAAACCCCTATACAACATACACATGGTGTACACAACTATACAACATACACATGGTACACGCAGTCATACAACACACACATGGTACACACCACTATACAACATACACATGGTGTACACAACTATACAACATACACATGGTACACCCAGTCATACAACACACACATGGTATACACCATTATGCAACATACACATGGTACACAGTCATACAACATACACATGGTACACACAATCATACAACATACACGTGGTACACACAATCATACAACATACACATGGTACACACAATCATACAACATACACGTGGTACACACAATCATACAACATACACATGGTACACACAATCATACAACATACACGTGGTACACACAATCATACAACATACACATGGTACACACAATCATACAACATACCACGTGGTACACACAATCATACAACATACACATGGTACACACAATCATACAACATACACGTGGTACACACAATCATACAACATACACATGGTACACACAATCATACAACATACACATGGTACACACAATCATACGACATACACGTGGTACACACAATCATACAACATACACATGGTACACACAATCATACAACATACACGTGGTACACACACAATCATGTAACAACAGACTTGTACCTTTCTTGACACATTAGTTCTCCACTTCTCCCAGATAAGGTTAAGTTTCTCGTGGTCTCTGGAACTTGCCATTATAGAAGCAAGATCAGGGTCCAGGTTGACACATTTCTGAAAGCACAGGAAGTTTCGAAAAGGTAACATGTAGCTCAATAATAGTAGACCGGGCTTACAACCGAAGGACACAGGTTCAATTCTGGGAGAATCTAGACTCATGACAAGTCTCCTTACACCTACTGCCCCTGTTTAACTAGCAATAAACACCCGATTGTTTGTAGACTGCTGTGAGAAGGAGGGAATGCCACCCACAACAGTCGTAACATACATTAGGCTAAATATAAATGAACAGTGCAGCGCACTAATGGCAATGCAATGTACCCGGTAAAGGGTTAAGAATAGTGAATTGTATTGCATTCCCCGCAAAATATTCTAGTGCTCACATTTTCATTTTCCAACAGCCTGTCGGTATCGCATACTATTTTTACTACTCTTTACAATGTTTGCTAGTAATGCTGTCCTCACTGTCACCAGTGGTCAGTTGGTAAGATCTGTATACATTGTGAAGTGTGATGAAGTACAGAGTAGGTAACAGCAACCACGACGGGAAGATAAATATAATATTCACCATAGGTAGTGTACTCACCCGGGGTGTAAGGCAGACGGTGGCAGTGGAGTAGATGGTAGACATGGTAGCTAATATACTCGTTAGATTCTTGGCATCTGCCTGATCCAACTGCACTGGAAAAGCCTGTAAAGATAAGAGGAAAGAAATATTAACCTGCCTGAAACAATTCACAACTAACCTACATCTTAGAAAGAACAATCCACAACTAACCTACATGGTGGAAGAAACAATTCACAAGTAACCTAAAACATAGTGAAAGTAACAATTCACAACTAGCTTACAACATGTTGAAAAGAATAATTTACAACCAACCTACAACATCGTTTAAGGAACGATTCACAATCAACCTATAATATAGTGAAAGAAACAATTCAAAACTAATTCACAATTTAGAGGAATCATCAGACGACGTGCTGGTCTATTCTGGACCACTACCAAGTCATAAACTCATTTAGAGTAAAAAATAAAATTAACTTGTTCAAATTACCAGAGACTGCAGCGCTTACTGCGTCAAAATCCTGCCCCGTGAAGAGCATACCATAATAAGCTAAGTCAGTAATTAACTCTCCATCACATGACACTCAGCGGGGCGCTCTAGTTGTGATTCGTTGTCCACTGGTCATTACCTAGAATGTTGGATCTTTAAATCTAGCACTGGCAAGCAAGAGGTTGTTGCTGTAGCCTCGGCCCCGATATAGGACCTGGTACTGCACTTACTGAGCGGGTTATTACTGGTCTACAGCACCTCCCAGGGGATCTTTTTCTTCCTTCCACCAGCAAATAACTACCGCCTCCTCCCATTAGCACAAAATTCACTATTAGATGACTAATATTTCATGATCTATATGACTCACTGTTTACTTTTTTGACTGACCATTTTCATGACTCTGGATGTTTCTGGGCTAAGGTCACTGTCGAGATAGTTCTTGACCTTGTTGTACCACTCTTTCTGAAACTCTGTTATGGCCAGCGAAGCCTCCTCCTGTGAAGAAAGGTTAGGTAAGGTCATATTAGGCTTAGTAAAGTCATGATAGATAATGCTAAATCACATTAAGTTAGGTCAATAAATGTATATTAAAGTTTAGTGAGGTCAAGTAAGGCGGAGAATCTAATTTAATATCAAGGCGAGGATGAGCAGGCTAGATAAATCATTCGTGGCACCCATAAAAACGTACGTAAACAGTGTACCAGTGGTAGTAAACAGTCGACTACTGCATGTGCTGTCTGCGGGTGATGCGAGGATGGAGAATGGAACAGCAACGAAAACTGAAGGGAAGAAACTGCAATGAAGAAAACATACATTACAGGACACGTTTTTGCTGGGACGTTTCGCTTTGTGGAGAGCGTTACAAAGGCTTAAAGCTTTATAGAGTGAAACGTCGTCCCAACAAAAGCCTGGTCTGCAACGTAATTTTTTTCTTCACTATTGTCGAAAGTACAGCATTTGGGATTAAAGGAACTGTTGGACAAGACTGGTTAAAGGAAATTAGTGACCGTGGCAGACTTGGTGAGGTGATCAGTGACAGCCTGTCATCTAGGAGAAAAGCAACTACAAGCAGAACACAGAAAAATAATAGGCACTTGGATGATAGAGTGCCTTTAGGAAAGTATACATGGATTTATTCAAGATGCTTTACATTTATCTTGGATGGGTCCTCGAGTATGCAACACCACCTTGGAACCGCACTTAGAAAATATAAAGCCTGAAAAAGTCCAGTGATTTGCCACTAAAATGTGCCCGGAGGTAGGACTAAATATGTAGGTGGAGCTTTCGGGGTGAACAAGGGTAGCGTGATGTGAGAATCTGAAGACAGAATGAAGAGTTTGTGAGCCAATAAGAAGATAGCAAGGACACTTACCAAGTAAGGCTTGCGAATAAGTGGAGTTACGCGAGGTGGTTGTGCAAGCAAGCTCATTATATGAAACCAAGGCTAGATATCAGTGCCAATAATAATGAGGAATAAAAAAACGATGAAAGGTTGAGATACGGCATCTATAACTTAAATTATTATTATTATAATCAAGGGGGAAGCGCTAAACCCGGAGGATTATACAGCGCCGGGGGGGGGGAGTGGAAGGCATTCAGGCTTAATTCGGGGAACTGGAGCACAGATCCAATTCCCTAAATCAAGAGCCCCTCTGTAACTTAAAGACCTCAACCCCACAGGCAGAGTGCTGGGCAACTTAACATTCACGATCTCAAACAAAAACTAATAAACTCACAAAGACACCTAGACAGAAACAAACTCCGGTCACACTCACCATAATCTTCTTGTTGTGCTCAGTAATATTAGTATGGTAGGCCCATGACACGAGGGAGACTTTGTTGTACTGCTTCTCAGCCTCCTCCTGGTACTCCGTTAGCAGCCTCGTAGCCTCACGCTCGGCCGCCCTGTCCACACCACCACATATGATTATTAAAAATAAAGGTTCAGAAAGTTTTGGGTAACTGAATGGCTTGAATATTAACCATAAAAGCTTACAATATAATAGGATACTTGTGCGTGGCAATCCTAGGATACTACTATGTGATCCTAGGACACTACTGTGAGGTGATCCTAGGACACTACTGTGAGGTGATCCTAGGACACTACTGTGAGGTGATCCTAGGACACTACTGTGAGGTGATCCTAGGACACTACTGTGAGGTGATCCTAGGACACTACTTTTGAGGTGATCCTAGGACATACTGTGAGATGATCCTAGGACACTACTGTGAGGTGATCCAAGGACACTACTGTGAGGTGATCCTAGGACACTACGTGAGGTGATCCTAGGACACTACTGTGAGGTAAATCCTAGGACACTACTGTGAGGGGGATCCTAGGATACTACTGTGAAGTGGATCCTTGGACACTACTGTGAGGTGATCTGGACACTACTGTGAGGTGATCCTAGGACACTACGTGAGGGATCCTAGGACACTACTGTGAGGTGATCCTAGGACACTACTGTGAGGTGATCCTAGGACACTACTGTGAGGTGATCCTAGGACACTACTGTGAGGTGATCCTAGGACACTACTGTGAGGTGATCCTAGGACACTACTGTGAGGTGATCCTAGGACACTACTGTGAGGTGATCCTAGGACACTACTGTGAGGTGATCCTAGGACACTACTGTGAGGTGATCCTAGGACACTACTGGGGAGGTGATCCTAGGACACTACTGTAAAGGTGACCCTAGGACACTACTGTGAGGTGATCCTAGGACACTCCCTGTGAGATGATCCTAGGACACTACTGTGAGGTGATCCTAGGACACTACTGTGAGGTGATCCTAGGACACTACTGTGAGGTGATCCTAGGACACTACTGTGAGGTGATCGTAAGACACTACTGAGGTGATCCTAGGACACTACTGTGAGGTGATCCTAGGACACTACTGAGGTGATCCTAGGATACTACTGTGAGGTGATCCTAGGACACTACAGTGTGAAGTTTACTGGGGCACTACTGTGTTTGTAAGGTACTAATTGTCAAACATTTGCTGACAGACGCTGGGTATTTTCTTTTAGACATGAGTATCACCTGTTATATTGTGTGTGTGTACTCACCTAATTGTGGTTGCAGGGGTGGAGACTCAGCTCCTGGCCCTGCCTCTTCACTGATCGGTAAGGGGTTCTGTGTGTGTGTGTGTGTGTGTGCAATTATACATATTTGTGGACTCATCTGGTTATGTTTGTCTTCATTTATATAAATGCAAATTTAATAAGTTAATTATTATTAATGCAGCTTATCCCTCCCAGCTTGAGTCAGCCCACAGCTTCGTGGACGTTGCTTAGTGAAAGTAGAGTTTGGTGCTTAGTATGAGTGACGTAGAGTTTACGAAGGTCAGGCTGGTTATCACTAGGCTAGTACAGGTGTGTATTTTGAAGCATTAATGTAGTTTAAAACACGAATCTGCACTGGTTTTATATGTAAGTATGGATGTACGCTTCTGTTTTTTTTCCTTCTGTTACCCAGTTCTGTGATAGAAATCCCTCCTGTGTATGAGACAGACCATCCTGAGCAATGGTAATTCCCAAGTGATAGTAACTCCAGCTCTACTGGAACGAAGACTATGAAGCTGCCGTACCTGGAATACTTGACGATATCTTCGCTGTGCTACTGAAGTCTCCAGCTCAGGGCCCACACATGTCAACACTAACTCATCTTGCGTGATGGAATATGACAGGTAAAACACAACTTGCTTTTGTTCCCACTGGGTAACCATCATACAGGATAGGGTAGCAGCACATTGCAGATGTATATAATGTTGCTAAATCGAAACATATAAAGCTGGCGGCCATGAATTACGAGCAGCCTAGCCACAACTTTCTCATATTTCTCTTGATACATAAAAATCTACCAGCTATATCAAATGAGGTTTAAATATTATTATCAACAACAAAATTAATACCACGTTTATACCCATCACTTTCACCTAGCTTATTATTATCGGGAAGAAAGCGCTAAATTCATAGGGGCTATATAGGACATTAGGAATGGGCGGAAATCTGGTTAGATCCAAGAAAGGGGAAGATACGTCTGCGTCCTTGGATCAAAAGCCCTTCATCAGTACGAAGGAACACTCACCCAGAGAGGTACTTTCACCCATGAATGTACTTTCTCTTGGAGGTACTTACTCGTCGAATGCCAGAGCGAGAGAACACCACACTAACAAGAACACCAGGTACGCAGCCTTCATTGTGCTGTTCTTCAGGGTTTAACAGGCACTTATCACCTCAGTAATTTGATGAAATACCAGAGTAAGCTTCACTCAATAAGAGGAGAGGCAGCTGCAACACACCACACCTTCCCGCTCTCCTGGTTGCACTGAGCCATAAATTTAAACTTGATGTCTTATAAGGCGACGCTGAGTTGCCAGAGTCTCCCGCCAGGTGGCCATATTGTGTGCAACATTCATTTATGTTTAGGAAATTGTTGGGCGTAATAAGGGTACTTTGCATGGAGAAGCAATAAAGGAGTTTATTATATTGTTTCAGAGCAGAATGGCACCAGTACTAATGACGGTGTTTCTGATAAATCCAAGAAGTTATTCTTCTTTCTCTTCTTCTGGCTAGACCAAGATGGTAAATAATCTCAAATAACACAGTGTGTCTTATTACCTTAGTGGCCTACCGTCCTCCCCCAGGATGCGACCCACCGTGGTAGCCCACTTCCAGTTTGCTTATTTACGCTTGGTGACACTGACACAGGGTCGGCAGGTGCAAGGAGATTTGCCCATACTTGTCACCCCACCTGGAAGTCGAATCCTGGTTCTTTCAGTTATGAGCCGAACGTTTAACTGAGACTCGCTGTATCTTCCGAGAGATTTATTATCCTCTCCACACACTCCACACTGTATCTCCTCTGTTGGCATTACTGTTATCTCACTCACCTATATGTGGTTGCTGGGGTCGAGTCATAGCTCCTGGCCCCACCCTCCAAAAATATTTGCCATTTGCCTGATTCATTTCCTCCTAGCTTCCTGGGACTTTTCGTACCTGCTACTAAAACTATGTATGAAGTTTGCTTCCATCACTTCATGGAAATAATTCCACTTCCCGACCACTCTAAGACTGACAAAATACTTCCTGACATCCCTGTGGCTTATTTATCTATAACTACTGGCTGTGCCCCCGAGTACCTGTTTCCCGCCTCTCAGATTACACTATCAATTCCCTCGAGTATTTTGTATGTTGTTATCATGCTTCCCCTGGTTCTTGTGTCCTCCAGTGTCGTTAGATTCCCAATCGTGAAACTTTCCTCATATCTCGCACCTCAGCTCTGCAACAAGCTTCCTTGCATACTTCTGAACTTTCTCCAGCTTCTTAATAAGTTTTTTCTAGGTGTGGATCCTGTGGTGCTGGGATACTCCAAGATGAGCCTGACATATGTTATATAAAGGGACGGAATGACTCTTTGGCGAGGTTCCTGAAGGCTGGGTTTTTGGATCTGCCCGCGCACATTGGCTGCAGGGTGTCATTCGGCTGACGTGAGCCTCTGGCGATATACTGCGCACTATGCTCACCCCTAGGTCCTTCTTCTTGAATGAAGTTTGTAGCCTCTGCCACTAGAGCCGGTACTCAACGTTCGGTATCCTTGATCGTTCCCCAATCTTTATTACCATGCATTAGCTGGGGGTTGAATTCAAGCAACCACTTATCTGACCAATTCTGCAGTTTATCCTGATATGTTGGAGCCTTTCCTTGTCTTCATTTTTTTATTCCTCTCATTTTTTATTACATCATCAGTAAACAGGGACACAGCTCAGTCCCATCCAGAACGTCATTTAGAAACAGTGCTGATCCTAATACCGATCCTTGCGGAACACCAGTAGTTATTTTTTTACCCTTCTGACAACTAATTATGGAAAAATTACCCCTTTCCTTCCTCGGGAAACTACTCGTTGATGCACTGGAGTGCGTTCCCTGGTATTATTACCAACACCTTAAGTTTTTCCCTAGGCCTCCTGGGGGGAACAGTCAAACGCCCCCTTTTTGCAATCTAGAAAAATGCAATTCAACCCATCCCTCTCTTTCCTGTCTCACATATGTTATTTGTCATTGAACTCCAACAGGTTGGCAAGATAAGATCTGCCAACGTTATTGTTCATGTAACCACTACTTCCAAGTGTTCAACTACTTTCCTGTAATTTTTTTCATTTATCTTGCATGGTATGTATGTGAGAAAAAAACTGGTCAGCAGTTTGCTTCCGTTTTCTGTTTCCTTTTCTTAAAAAAGAGGGACTAGAATTCGCTGTCTTCCGGACTGTGGACTGTCACGGTTGCTTGACTTTTCTGGGTTATGGGATAAATCTACTTAATGTACGTAAAGATTTTACGTTCTTCTTCTTCTTCTTCTTCATCATCTTCTTTTTTCTTCTTCTTCTTTCTTCTTCTTTCTTCTTCTTCTTCTTCTTCTTCTTCTCTTCTTCTTCTTCTTCTTCTTCTTCTTCTGTGGAAAAAATTGCATTTAGCTGAATGTATCATTATATACTTAACAGTAAATGAAAAAGATAATTATTATTTATCAGTTAGACAAATAAGAATTTGGGACACCTAGGTCGCAAAAAATGTCCCCCCTTTGATACCTACCACTGTCATATCCACAAGTTGCTTTGGACCTATTATTAAATGAAATTTACATACACAGGAACGTTGGTAAAATATTAAATTTGTGGACTGTTATTAAAAATAATTTAAATGGTTTAATATATTTACACAATTACATAACGAAGGAAAAATATCTTAATATCACTCACCAATTTGACGGAGATTAATGTGGGATCATACTCAGAAAAACTCATTCTAACTAAAATCTATTTAAAATAAAGCTGGCAGAATTACACACAAATCTAGAGAGCTTATCTGAGGTTCCTGAAGCTGTCTTGTCCAGTCGTCTGATATCTTCAAGTTATGCAGGAATGCACATCTACCAATTTAGCCTCCTATTTGGAGGGTGTCAACACAATTTAAAACCTCTAGAGCACGGAAAATTTTCCCATTACACAACGTTTGTAAAAATTCAAAACCAAGATGGCGAGTCTCGTCTTTTGACATAAATATTATTAAATTATTGTTTTGGCCATCTATTTACATATAAATACTGAATTTCTGGAAAATAATATACAGTATTTTCCCCACTGCGGCCGGCCGGAGTTCGTTGCCCAAACGATTTCAAATTACTCCTTCCTTTAGGAGACGATTCCAGTTCAGTTCTGGCTTGAGTGGCTGTTTCCTAGTAGGTCTTACTACGATTTTCATCTTTCCGGCATCACTTGGTCTGCATTATCTTCCATATCACTCGTGTCACTTTCCCTCAGATTTTCATTTACGTTTGATTGAAACACCTAATTCAAGAGGAATCAATTTATTAATTGGCATAAACTTTTCCTGGCCCCGACACAAACCTTTGACATTCCTGACAGCACCTTGTGCATCTGGGTACAATGTCAATACTTTGCCCAAAGGCACAATGTTCGATGTTGTTCAGTGTCAATTAAACAATGTCACCTGGTGTGAATGGTCTGTCGATTTACTGCCCCTGTTGCACCATAAAAGTGTTTTACGTAGTGTAAGAAGATATTCCTTATGCCACACATTAGACCAAGATCAATTACTTTATTTAACATTTTAAATTTATTACACAACACTGCCGCATCTTGTAATCTTCATCACTTTCTTCCAGATTAAACTCTATAGACAGGGCAGCTTCCATTTCCTTCCACATATTAGGTGAGAAGGTGTTAAATACATCTGCATCAGGTGAATCACTCATGTACGAGGAGGGCCTTTTATTTATACGATTTTCTGCCTCCACTAACACTGCACGGAATTCTTCCAAATTAATTCTCTTCCGGTGTAGTACTTTGCGGAGACCCTCTTCAATGCCTATCAGTCTTTCGTACAGCCCCCCCTGCCCAAAGGGGGTCTAGGAGTAATAAAAATTTTTAGGACACCCTCGCTGGGTTAACAGAGATTGAACATCGTTACTATTATTAATTCTATCAAGTGTTGGCACCGGCACAAAATTTGTGGATTATCCGAAATCATCAACCTTGGACAGGATTCCTAGCTGTAAATTTTCGAAACAACTGTAAAACTGTTCTGGAGACAAGGTCCTGTGCCATTCTAAATGAATGCCCTAGTAGCAGTTTCAGGTGAACAAACATACACTTTCAGTGGAACACCATCTGGAAGTACCTGTTAAATTATTGGGGCCACTATAGTCTACACCTGTTACATCAAATGGTTTCACTAATTGTCACGCTTTCCTTTTGGCAATGGTGGAGGACCTGGGTACATATAGGATCTGGCATCCCCACGGTGACATTATTACACAAGATTTAATCACCCTTTTTATACTTTTGGCCGTCCTTGTGGAATCCAGAAAGTTTCCCTAATACAATTTAAGGTGTGGGAAAAAGACACTTATGTACAGTTCAGGACATTTATTAAAGGAAACGTTTCGCCACGAGTGGGTTCTTCAGTCCTAATACAGAGAAAACTAAGAAAACATTTTATATTATAGTGGCAGGAGCAGGTGAGGTGGGCGTGGTAGAGGTGGTAGTTAGTAGTAGTAGTAGTAGTAGTAGTAGTAATGGAACTAAGGAGGTGGGGCTAAGGAGGGACCTGCTGGCAATCAAGTAACACCAGTTCCCAGGATGGGTAATTTCCTCTTGTTAGTAATTTTGAAATACTGTAACTACCGGATTTTTGCTTTATAGGTTTACTGGGCAGAAATTAGTGCAGCTTCAATGCATTTTCTCCGTCTTATGTCGTCTTCTTTAATACTAGTTTAGCTTCTTTGAATTTCATGAGGTGTCCAACATCGTCTCTATGTTGAACACATGCGTTTTTTCGGTCATCATTTCTGCAAACATTTTTGTGTTCTGCTATTCTAAGTCCAGAGTTCTGGCTGTTTCCCCTACATATACTGGACATTAGAATAGCAGAACACAAAAATGCTTGCAGAAATGATGACCGCAAAAACGCATGTGTTCAACATAGAGACGATGTTGGACACCTCATGAAATTCAATGAAGCTAAACTAGTTATTAAAGAAGACCGACTTAAGACGGAGAAAATGCATTGAAGCTGCACTAATTTCTGTCAGTAACACTATAAAGCAAAAATCCGGTAGTTACAGTATTTCATAATTACCCATCCTGGGAACTGGTGTTACTTGATGCCAGCAGGTCCCTCTCTTGCCTCACCTCCTTAGTTCCATTACTACTACTACTACTACTACTACTACTACTACCACCTCTACCCACGCGTCACCTCACCTGACTCCTGCCACTATATATATAAATGTTTTCTTAGTT